TTTTTTTATATATATTTTTACGAATTTTAATTATTATTTTGTATATTTTTAAGATAATAAAAGATGAAAAAACCTACAGCTATAATACATCCCAACACAACACGGACAAATGAAACATCTATAAAGCATAGCCAAAGTGAAATGCTTTAATAGAATTCGCACAAAATTGAACGTTTAGAATAAAATCTATCTACCTTTAATTTTATTCGATGTTAAGTTTCTAGAAAAGAAGTAAGAATCCACACTAACCTGAAAAATGTAGGGTGTTTTCCCAGAAACAAACAACCAGGCACAACTGTCATAGACTCACAGGGGCTGGGCCTCCACTTGAGATAAATCCACAGAGATGGAGAATGGCAGCCTGACTTACTAACCCAAGATCCAAGACCTCCCTGAGTTATTTTCTTTCACCATGTTAGCAGCAAATTTGCAATAATAGCTCAACATGAAATTGGGTGCAAGAGCAGCATGCAGGACTTGAATATACTTCAAGGATCAAATGCTGGAACCTGGTGTAACGGACCATGCAATGCTTTGTACATTATTCTGTCAATAATGTTCCTATATGGATCCTCCTCCCGCTTCTTCAATAAGTAGGCAATGCTTGCCTCAATTTCCGACTGCACTTGCAAGTATAACTGATTTGCTGTTTCTTTGTCTTTCTGCAACTCTTCCTTTCCCTTCAATTCTATTGGCTTCCCAAACAAATAGTAAAAACGCCCTGGTACCTTTGGTAATGCTGCTGGTAGAAAAATTTGTTGGTCAGCAACTTCTCCAAGTGATTTGTCCCTACAATCAAAATATACTCTCTCCATCAGGATAACGAATACTTCCTTTATAAGAAGTTCATTCATTCCATCTTCATTCAAAAGAATTATGGAAAAAAAAAACACAAAAAAAAAAAGTTGAAAAAGAGAGTAATCACCTTATTTTTTCAACTTTCTGCGTCTCCTCCCTAATATAGTCATTAAGCAGAGGCATTTTCATCATGTCATTGTAATCAAGAACCAACTGCCACGTAAATTAGAAGCAAGTTAATTGCAAAAATGACATTGAAACTTAAAATATCAAAGAAAATTGTCTTGAATGATTTTATATATACATACATATATATTGTCTTGAAAGTACCCATAACAAATCGAGATTCTAAAGAGGACCAGAATGAAAATTATAAGTCAAGTAGAACAAACTCACTTCTACCATATCATCTTCTCCTACAACGCCGAATGGCACAATTGTGGCACCAAACTGTGCTGCCATTCTCACAAATTCTGGCTGATTAGGCCAGAATAATTTATATTGTTCACCCTGCAATTAAAAGCATTAATAGTTGTAGCAATCAAAGGAAAGGAGTCATCTTCCCAGAAGATGTGGAGCGAAAACTACCCTAACAATGGACAGAGCAAATTCTTTATAGCTCAGTGTTTCTGTGCTTTCCTGGACTTGTATGTCTAGAGGTAAGAGCAATGGTTTCCAAGCACCTGTAGTTTTCTCTATAAATGATTAAAGGCTAGATCCCCTACTATGTGCATGGTGGCAAGAACAGTGTTTAGTCACCTTTCGACTATCTATAAGTAAAAGAACCTGAAATGGCAGACTTCCTTTTTTCTTTGGCTTTTTGAACTGAGGAAAAAAAAAAAACCTGTCAAAGATGACAGTTTCATATATGGCTAGTTATCTGCTGAATGAAAATGGTTATAGTGAATGCAAGCAATTTACTGTACCTTGTAATGGAGGGCCTCGCGTGCACCACCAGGATAGAGAAGAACATGAGACTTTGCAGACAGCAATTTGAAAAGATTGCTTGCTGTAACAGGTACTGCACCAAATACCTTTATCCAATCAGAGAATGAGAATTCATTAGATGAACTCTCATGCTTTGCCAAAAAAAGCTCCGTGTGTGCTACTCCATGGACCATAATGTTCTCTCTCAAGAATTCTTCAACAAGAGAATAAATCTCTAACCCCATTAACATATGGTAACCAACAAGCAAGACTGGACCTTCGCTTGGAATGCCTGCAAGACCTTTTACTATCTCACCATCTTCCATAGTTGAAAACATGACAGAAGAAGCAGCAAAACGTAAAAATCTGCAGATTCAGTCATTTCAAAATCAAATGTAATCTATTCTAAAAAAAAAGAAAAAAACTTAATCTTGAATTCAAGGGAACCTGCTATAGAATGCAAAGGTTCTTAATCATTATGTATGCATGAACCAAGTAAATTTGATGTAAAGAGTTACAGAAGCTAAACCTAACTTCGTTTGAATTAATTTAGAATTCTCATTAAGTGACAACTTGTAAGAAGATCAAAAGGAAAAAGAAAGGAAGGGGGGGGGGGGGGGACAAGATAGAATGAACAATCAATAATTTATATTGCACCTTTTAATGCTTCAACATTCATCTTTGGTAAAACTTTCCAATTGCTGAAAAACAGGTAAACCAACATAAAGATCATAACATTTTGACTCAAATTAAGATAAAGGAAAGAGACAAAATTGAAAGTGGGTCAATTTAGAAGTACTGTATCATGGGTTATGAAGAAATATGGAAAACCAGCACCATGCTACATAAATACATAATACTACCTATTCTTTTGGAGTGGGATTAAGATGCCTCTATACAAAAATAGATTCACATGGTCAGGTATCAAAGAGGATTAAGTCAATGGTGACCTCAATCTAAGGATTAAGACTGAAATTGGGTCAGATCTAGTTGCTTTCTAACAGTCATCTTATTAAAAATATAGATGATGAATCGTTTAGAGGAATTACCCTAGGACTTGGTCAAAAATATATCTGTATTCTGATATACTAGGAGGCACAAAATCTGAGACAAAGTCATGCCTCCTTGAACGGCGGTATTTGGAAGTACCTTTAATAATAGTAAGCAAACTAATTCCATCTTCCTGTACCATCAAACAAAAGGAAGTAGTCAGTCAAGTTTGTCTTCCACGAACATCCACTGACAAGCAACAGAGAAGGGTAAATTTGAAATCAAAATCAAAAAGTTTGTTTCCTATTTTTTCATCATAACATCTTAGAGCATGCATGAATGCATCAATAGATCAACAACAACAGACCCATTTTTTAACCTACCAGTAAAAGGATATGTCCATTGTCCTTGAAGTGACGAACTGTGCAGTTTTGTAGTAAACCCTTAAGACGTTGAGCCTCATCTTGACTAGGAAGCATGTTATCCTTGTCACTGAAATACAAACACAGCATCAACCATAACATTCCATCAAGATTTACCAGCTCAAAGAAGAGTTCTAGACCATAGCCCTCATAGATAAGAAGATAACAGAGATCAGAATTAGAACATTAATTAACGGACAATTGGAATATTCTAGCAAAGATGTAACAAAATTTATTAGATTCACAATTTGCAGAAGTGCAAAATACACCAATAAAATAGAAGACAACACTTTTCCAACAAATGAGGCCATAATTGCAACTGTGTAAATGGAGACGGAAAATCCCATCGAAGATAATATTAAAAAATGAAGAAATCTCATCACAGCTTTTGATGTATAAGGAACTTGTTAATTGAGTCAAGAGGCAAGATTAAATGAAATCTTTAGTGGCTTATGGAGGAAAGAGAAAAATCAGCATCATCAAAATTACTCTTGCTCTTGCACAAACATTTCAATAATTAAACAGTCATCGTCTTTAGTCCCTTATAAAAAAGAGCCTCATGGGTAATACATAGTGTTTCCACAAATATGTTGAAAATAAGAAGTATAGAGAAGATTAAATTAAAAGAGAATGAGGACCTGACTAGCAGGAGTACTTCAGCTTTAACAGCATGGAGATGGGAATTAGCGTAAGCAGCAGCTGACTTGATCAATTTTAACTTCCAAGCAAGAGTCTCCCTTGGTACAATGTTAGCTATACCCTGAAAATGGAAAAAAGTAAGACTTGAGATCAATTCGGCATGGTTGTTGGACTAAATAAATCTTCAGCAGACCATTTCTGACAATTTGAGCAAAATTCAACATGTAATCCAAAGAACAATAAAAACCAAACATCAAATCCAGATATGAAGCAGAATTAAGAAAAGAGATAACTAACAATGGTATCCATAATAGAGGTTTCATTTGTTCTCATGCATATTATAGTAATGCTCAATAAAAAATGGCAAAGATTAATTAGCAACTTGAAAATGAGATTACAGGGAAACCAAAAGAGTGATATTGAGGAAATTCATTGTTTAACTGTTTCAGTTTTACCCTGGGTATGCCTGGGCAATGATTGTACATACCCTGTTGGGGAATTAGGATAAATGAAAAGATCAATATTCTCCAAAAGAGAAAAAAAAAAAAAAAAAAGTTTAAAGGAACTCTAAATGCAACAAAACGAACAACAGAAAATACAAATAACATCCAATGGTTCTTACAGAAATAAGAGGGAACAATGAGGTAAGGTTCCTGGACAATTGTTCAATTCTAATTCTAGGAGGAAGCTTACTCCCAACACCAACTGTTGCCAGTTTCACTGGATCACCTGCTCACATGAAAAATGATACTAGAACCATTAGAACAACATTGGGTTCTCAGGGGAATTTTGGAGGAATACAAACTTGCCATATTCCTAAAAAGATTGGGTTCTCAAACTGAATTGAGCAATTTGATACTACAAAAAAAAAATTTGCAACAGAATGGTATATTTGGTTTGA